CCCCCCCCCCCCCCCCCCCCCCCCCGGGAAAAAAAACAAAAAAAACACCCACAAAACAAAAAAAGAGCAGAATAGACATTGAAACATCACCAAAACTGACTTCACAATTTTCTGATGTTAAGCGCATGCACGAACGAATTCCAGATGAGTGGACTTGAAAAGTAGTGTTGAATTTTAAGAATATTCATGCACAATTCTGATCAGACTATGATTCAATTTGAAGAGATAGAGATCTAAAGTTTGTAAAGCTCCTATGCACATTTAAAACACACATGTATCATTATTTCTAAATCTATTTTCATGATGTGTTCTGGCCCAAAAATGAATAAACATTACGAATTGCTTCATTGGCTTAACTGTTATTAGTGTCATGGTAGCACTGGAGTGGATAGTCACCACTATTAACCTTACAAAAAACAGAAAACATGTGCTTGAACTATCTACACACTATTATGCATATTGCCAGTTACTCCGGTATCAAATGGCAATATTAGGTGCTCTAAGCTCCACAAGAGATGATGAAAGGGCATATATTGACTAAAAGGTAGTAAAAGCTCATCAGGTTTAGATAAACCTAAAATGAAATAAAATGTACCAGTCTATCTCTAAACAATGCAAATGTCAAGATCAAAATCACTTCTTACAAATCACATTCTTTTTTCCAATATCTAAAAAGAAGTGCTCCGCAAGCCCCCATTACACATACAGAGGTCCCATATAGGAACAGAAAACTATAGGATAAATCATACAGAATCCTGATTATGTATTAACTACTAAGTTAGTCCATATGCATACTTATAAGATAAAGGAAGAACTGTAAGGATGCTGAAATTTACTTGGGTAATCAAGTGAGGAAATACTGATCCCATCGATTTGCCTGCTTTTCTGTCGGCAGTCAACACTGTAATAGAGAAATGCGGATGGTTTGCAAGGAGGCGGACTATCTGTGACAAAAATATATCAAGTAATCAATTTGAATGATCATGGTGAAGCAAATCAGTAAGTCATTATTAAGGAAACAAACACTTAGAAAACTACTAAAGCAGATCACATGCGTTGCACAGAACCAAGAATGTAGTCAAACAATGACATTAGATAGACAAAGTACAGAAAAGAATCAACGCCTTCCTTGAAGTTCTTAAAATACAGCCATGTACCTAATAGAAGTACTTCAACAAATAAGCATGACATAAAGAAGTGAGTTAGCATGAAAACAATAGAGCTCTTTTCTATCGAAGTGCAATTTAGCCTTTTAGAAACAAATGGTAGTTCCAGACCCGTAAACCTATGATAACTAATGCATTAGCATGAAAACAATAACCATGGTATTTCATAAAAGTATACACCCACTCATGACAAAGTAGAAATAACAAAAATTAACCAAAAGGGTAAATCGAAGTACAGAGTGCAAGCAAAGAGTAAATACTAAAACTGCACCCCTCATAATTAATGTTAAAAAAACATTATAGATTTTGTCATAGAGCTCTTTCCTATCAAGATCATAGGTCATTTAACCCACCAATCCCAGGACATGTCTGCTAACACAAATTTGAAGTCTATACCATTCTATGTCACTTTCATGATGCTCAGAGTATTTTTGGATTTGGCATTCTACAACAAGATTTTTCAAGTACCCTCAATCACTATTACAAATTAGACATATTTGGGACCTTGGACAGGTAGTGAGGAAAGAAAAATATCTATACATGTGAGTCTCGACGGCTAGGAGGAGAGGGAGGGAGGGAGGGGGGAGAAAGATAATGAACCTTGACAAAGTTATATGGGATGTCACATAATGATCCAAACATCAGCAATAAATTCTTTACTCACAACTCACAAGCAAATATCATCATAGTCATTTCTTCATTGACTTGTGGCAGATGCATCTTTTGTTCCTTCTTCCTCATTTAATGTGTACATAATCTTCCAAGAACTTACCATTAGCCCATTTGTCACTCCCATCCTTCTCTCAGTAATCGTGTTTTCTCAATCGAAGCTACTCTCCTACAAATGTGTTAAATGACAAGTTCTATAAAAATCTCCTTGCAAAGTTGGTACATTCCAAGCATGTGTTCATCACATAAATAATGAAGCATTCTCCACTCCCTAGTCTTGTATATTTTGTCTAACTACTTTCTAGCCTCCCCCTCGAAGATATTCTTTATCATTCTAGTTCTGAAGTTAACCTTGTTTTTCTCTGTTACTTGCTACCAAGTCTTAATATCAGAACAAGAATTTATATGCTACAATAACTTAAACATTCCAACCTAATCGGTAAACAATTTCAAAAGCACCAGGTACCCGCGCCAAACATGTACATGCTCTTGAAGATCTGCGCTACTACGCTCTTAAATTGTTAGCTCTAGACGAATGATGTCAATTGCATTATCATCATATCATTACTCAGCAATCAACATCATCAACAATTAGCATACACCATCTGACTTGTTGATGAAATATCCACAGGTTGGAGGAGCTAACTTATGGCACATTCTATGATCTCATACAAATTTTTTTAACATTACCAACATCTAAGCCCATGATAATTTCATTACCAACATCTAAGCTATTAAATACTTAGCAAGCATATTCAGAGGATTATTTCAATGGTAATAAGAATGATTAACTGGTTTCTAGTCGCTTACCCTGTAAAATCATTTCTCAGAGCTCACAAATAACAGTTAACCATGTTTTTTGAAGTTTGCACTACATCATCATATGCTAATGTACACCAAACTGCTAATTTGATATCCATAAACAATCCATATATTGTACACGTACAAGTACATAGACTAATACACAACTAATATCACAAGCCACTAAATAAGCAAGTCCCATGTTTTTTCATGTTATTGCACTGATATGCACTGACAAACACATTTATTCAAAGTATCATCTCCAAAAATTACTCAGTATTTTAAGCTATGTCTTCAACCTGTCTGCATCTTATGTAAGAAAATTATTAGATCACCTTGGATAGAGAGCATCCTAAACCAATGGTATCCCTGGAAGATAATGACCATAAGTGGCCATTTTGACTGGGAAGTGTAATAAGAACTTGAGTCAAATGTGGGTATTCCTCTTTTGATTGTGTGCCCACCTCATTTGAGATGTTTGGATGGAGTGGACATCTCTCCTTGAAATCCCCTAACCAGAAGCATAGAGACAGTAACTTGGTGGAAACCATGGTACGAAGTAATATCATAGCCACTTCATCTACAACTTCAAAAGCTAGTCTTTGACCTGTTCAATGAGTTTGTTTAGATTTTAAAATCACACAACCTTGGGCATATATTATATATCATTATGGTTCCTAAAACCTATGATGCACGGATACGGATACGGGACACGGATACGACACGGACACGAATACGGGATACGGCAAAATCCAAAAAAATAGGATACGGGGATACGGCAAGGATTTTTTTAAAAATTATTATTATATATAGATGGAACGTAATACGAAAATCTCGATTTAGTATAAATGAGTAACTTTCTCCATCAGATTTATGATAATAATATGATGTTGGGCTGCTGCTCGAACTTAAAAACCGGAGGAGATGATGATGACATTGGTGGTGGTTGTGCTGGACGGGAAGGAGGAATGGAGGGTGGACTTGAGGAGTCGGAGGAAGGAGGAGTCGGTCGGCGGGATCGGGTCGGAACAGCGGAGGTGATCGAATCGAACGGGAGTGAGCAAGAGATTGAGAGAGAGGATTAGGGTTAGGGTTTTTTCTTTTTTTTCTTTTGTTTGAGTCAGCTGAGGATCGAATCGAACGGGAGTTTTGAGAAATAGAGATGAGTTTTTTAATCGAACGGTTCGGGTTGGATTTTAACAACCAAACCCGAAACCCAAATGAATCGGTCTTCGGCGAATCCGAGTCGTGTACGAGCTCCTTTGACCATGTCCAAGCCTAATTTGACCGTTGACCCGTGTCGGACACGGATTGACCGGGTCCGACACGTGTCGTGACGAATCCGTGTCCGATTCGAGTCGGACACGGATTCGTGGCCTCCGGGGGCGAATATGTGCTTCAGAGCCTAAAACTATGCTACTACTAACAATAATAATAGCTCTTGCAAGAGCAAACTTCATCATCATTGTTCACCAAACATAGTTTCCACAAAGAAGTAAGCATCGGAGCATAGCTCAATCAAAGTAGAAAAGGAGCAAAAAAAACTAAAAGTTGGATAAAGAATAACTACCTCAGCTCCAGTATAACCGCTAGCCCCTAGAAGCCCAATACGAACTGTTTCCTTCGAATTATGAACCTTAACGTTGCGGAACTGCAAGCTTGAGGGCGATGAACCTACTGATGCTCCAACCCAAAATCTCTTTGCTTTCGAATTCTTCGCATAGCGCTATCAATAAAATCAAATCTTTTTACAAGAAAGATTAAAACTTTACCATTTTTCTAGCAAAAAAGAACAAATACTAACCGTAGGACGAAATCTGAAGTCCACGTTAACCGATCCCAAATTTGTGGAGCTCATCCTGTGCTTATTTTAATAAAAAAGAAGCTTGAGCATATATGCGCCCTAATCACATTAGGAATAAATAAAAATTTTCATGAATGAGAAATAACTTGAATCATTTACAGGATCGAACACATGATGTACAAGAATTTGTTAAAGTAAAGTAATCGGGTTACCTCACAAAAGTTTTACAAGTGCAAAACATCCAAAGTTTCACACGCAATGTTCTTTGATGAATCTAATTCATCTCCTAGTTATTCAAAAGTGATGGCTTTTTGCTTTTGAATTGAATTGTATCCTTAGAATAAGTTTTCTCAAAGACTCAAACCTTACGTAGGTAAGTCATCTCCCTTACGTAATTATGACATTTGACCATTGAACTTAATATCTTTATTAAGGTCAAAGATTATGAACTTAATGTCTTTATAAAGTCAAAACAATTAATAATTTTAACTTTGTAAGTACATGAGGATTAACTTCATGTCTTATCATTAAAGTCGTAATTTTATTCATTCTAAGCAATAATTTCAACAACAAATATTTGTAAGAACATATAGCATGCGACCCATCTGGGATCTCTCTCCTCCATAAATTAGTCCCTGCTCATTTAGTTGTAATCATATCCATCAACAAACTACAACTTTCATACAAAGGATAGAGATTTAGTTGTAAGATCCCTGTATCACAATAATGTACATACATGTTAATCCTAAGCAACATCAACTAGTATTCCATACAAGACCTCCATAGTCACTATCAATCCAGAAACTTATATGTGCGTCTTTTCAATATAACTGGACAAAAACATTTTAAGAAAGCTCTTTTAATAGAATATATATCTAATATATTTTAATATATAAAGTAAAGTATTTGATAAAACATTTTTTCCTAAATTGGCCAGCCAGATTTAATCCGATATATAAAAGATACAGTAAAGAATATTCTCTTCTACTTTAGAAGTGACAGATTATTTATTAAATGGCTACAAGCCTTCACGTACCAATTTAGTATTTGGTTCAGATCTCACCTTCTGTGGAGTGCAAAAACAGCGTTGAGAGTTGGGATGGCAAGCTGGTCGAGTCGTCTCAATTTTGACCTGACCCATATAAGCTTGACCCGAACCCAACCCGTTTAAAAAACAGGTTAGGATACCCAACCAGTTTAGTAAACCGGTTACCCGACCAGACCCGAGAGTGATCCATATACAGTTACCCACTTACCCGTATATGACTGTCTCTCGTTAGAAGTTCGAAAAGCAAATTGGTTTGCACTGGAGGTTCAGGGGGAAACTTAACGACTAAGAAAATTGCAAAATGAATACCATTAGCTATGTACATTACAAAAAAAAACTGATTAGGTACTATAAAAAATGTATATATTGAAGGGGCTGATATAATTTAGGCCCTAGTTCTATTTGTTCCAGGTCTCATTCAAGCATAAAATCAAACGGCTAGCAAGCAGACAGGCTGAAACCATGGAACCATCTTTAAACTTAGCTCCGATTCAATAAAGTATAAAGTCAAACTCACGGCTAATCACCAACAAGCCAGCAAAACAATCAAAAGATCGCACGCTAGCGGAAGTAAGATTGAAACCCAAATAAACAAGAGAATAACATAAACCAACTTTCCTTCATTAAAGAAAACATGAACGAACTTTTCGACAAGTATGAGAGAACTCTTACTTGAAATCAAACTCGAGAACTCAGCGAGGACCCTGAGCGGTAGGAATCAATCCTTATTTAGGGTTTATGCAAACGGGCGAAGGTGACGACGAGATGGAAGATGGGGTTTTTTTTAATGAAATGCGGAATAAACGGGTTAGACGGGTCGGGTGTTAGGGTTGACCTGAAATTGACCCGATTACTGAACGGGTTACCCGGGTCGAAAACTACCGACCCCAGCCGCGGACACGGGAGGGAGAGTATGTTGGAGAAAAGCTGAAAAGCGTAGGACAGTCCTGTGTCTCCATTTATATTGGCAAAGGCACAGAAGACAGCTATGGTTTTCTGTTTTTTGACTACATTTATATCAGCAAAGGCAGTAAAAACAACTATGAGAAATTTTTTTATATAATGTGAACTTTACTTCCATTAATTCCTTCTCAGTTAACCTTGTTCCATGTTCTTTTATGCTCATCTCAAATTCTTATTTCTCCATTAAGGCATTAACTATGATCCTGTGTCTCCATTTCCTAAAGGGCCCCAACGCCACCCCTTCCCCTTTTGAATACACTAGTTTTTACACACGTGCAATGCACGTGATTTAATACCATGATTAAGTATTTTTGGCAGTTTGTGCTCATTTTTTTCTTTAAACTCTTACATCCCGATTATTTTTTTATGTTTGTTTAAATGGGATACACCCAATTTAAATTTTCATGTTGATATTTGAATTGACAAAAAACAAATATAATTTAAAAATAATTTGAATTTTCATATTATTTTTGACCGATATGAAACTAAGCTTTATTTGAGAAAGTATAGCATTGCAAAGTGAAAAATATTAAAATAGTGTTATACAAGGAAGGTGAATATTTAAAACCAATATGGCAAAATGATTGATTTAAAGTATGTTAAAACGATGCAAAAGAGAATATGAAGTTTATTCCTAATCATTGATAGACTTCATAAAAAAATATAAATTAAAGATTAATGCTAACTCTAGTATACTTTTATATGATAAAAACATCCACATAAGAATATAAAAGTACTGAAAAAAATTCATGAAACTCCCTTCTAAAGATTCCTAATTTCACTCAAAATAATTAAACTATTCTATAAAATATTCATAAAATATTGTTTTTATTTCTTCTATTTTATTTTTTATTGAGTTAAGATCAATCCTTCTTCAGGTTTATCATTTATCATTTCTCGGACAATTCTAGAGTGTTGTCTTCATCATCTACATCAATTATGACATAAGGCTAATTTTTTATTTTTTATGCTATTATCTTTCCTGTGCTCGTTAATTTTTTATCATCTCATTTAACTTCACAAAGAAGTCAAATGTACTTATGATGTTCAACACAAACTGCTCAAAATATAGATTTTGATTTTTTTCTATTTCAATGAGAATAAATATTAATTTGATATATATAAAATTCTTTGTGTTCCTAATTTATTACTTAAATAAATTAGAAGCTATCTTTTTATTTTCCTCTAAAATGAATTCTTTTGATGTGCATCCAATAAGAATTTCTGTTATTTCAATAATATTATCTTTGCTCTATCCCTGTCATTTTCCATAAAGATCTAAAATAAATACCTACATTATTCATTACCAATTTCTCTTAGATTATAATATTAATATTTAATTTGAAGAACACAGTATGGAATTTATGAATACTTACTAATTTTTCTTATGTCTTCCATGGAGATTTTTTTCTTTGATTAGGATAAAGTTATTAAATTATTTTTTAATGTAACTCGTTCAGTGCTTCATTAATAAATATGTCTTATGTTAATGCCAATTCAAGTGATTCATTAACGTTTTCTGAATTTTAGATTTATTTCCATCACTATTCCATTTGCAATGGAAATAACTCAATTCTTTTAAAGTTATCTCTAAATATTCTAATAGTTTCTCCATATGTAATTCCTTGTATTCTTTTACCCTATAAATATTATTAACGTCAAAGATTAAAGTTTCTAAATTAAAATCAATTAATGCTAAGGTATAATATTATAGTGTTTTATCATTTCTATGGATTTAAACATCTATCAATTAATGTTACGAATGTATTTTGGCTACCCCAACTTATTACTAAAATTATATGAAATTACTTTAATTTATATAGTGCCGATAATTTTTAATCTATAATATTTTTAAAAATTTTATCCATTAACCGGATGTTTTTAATCAATTCTTATTGTTTTTGTTTACCAGTATCAACTTAGACTATTCTTAGATGCTGAAAATGGATAGTAAATCCCTAAATTACAAATTTTAATATATATATATATATATATATATATATATATATATATATGAAAAATACCAAACAATTACACTTTTCTTTGCCAAGTTTTAAAATTTTAGCCCATTTTTGTGGTTTTGAACTTTGAGGGTGTGATTTATAATTTTTAAAATTTTTAAAGAGTTTTTAAAAAAATTTACTTTTAAGTTTGGTAGTTGTAAATTCTATGTTTCATGTGTTGGTGGTAATTTTTTAAATGTTAGTATATTTCTTGTAACTCTAAAATTTTGAGGGTGTCTTTTGTAATTATTAAAACTATAGATTAATTTTTAAAAATATTAAATTTCAGCGGTCTACCAATCGACGAATTTGATGTGTGCTAGTTAAAAATTTTGAAAATTTAGAGTTTTTTTTACGATTTTTAAATTTTGAAGGAGTTTTTTAAAAATTTTGAGGTTAATTTTGGCAAATTTTAATTTTTTAGGTGTCTAAGGGTAATATCTTGAATTCATCTTATTTTATTTACAAATTTTAGAATTTTAGGGTGACTTTTTATAATTTGAACTTTTGAAGGTGTTTCTATAATTTTTGAGATATTGATGGTGTTAATAAAAAAATTTAAATTTAAATGTCAAAAATTTTAGGTGTATCATGATAATCTCTTGAATTCATCTGTGTTGTTTGTAAGTTTTAAAATTTTAGAATTTTAATGTGCTTGTCTGTAATTTAAACTTTTGAGGGTATTTCTATAATTTTTAAGACATTGAGGTGTTAACTGTAAATTTTAAATTCTTTGCAAACTGATGTTAATTTTTTAATTTCATATTTTTTATTTTAAGTTTTGAGATATTTGGATGAGTTTTTATAATTTTGAACTTTTCAGGGTCTTTTCTGCAATTTTAAAACTTTTTATGGTTTTTTTGCAATACTTCATGTATTATAATATGTTATCTACTTGTAAATTCTTTATCTTAACAAACTAATATCATTTTTATGTTTTATATATTTTATTAATATTAGTTTTTTTAAATTGTTAAGCTAAACATGGTTCACATAGGATTAGGATAAGATATGATTATGATTAGAATAGATTAAGATATAAATAAAATATTCAAAATAGTGAAGGGTAATATTGACCATTGAAAATTAGAATTTGATTATATATAAGGTAGTTCAAACTATAAAGGGGTATATTTGTCTAAAAAAGATTTTCCGAACTCGTGCTTTTAAAAGGAGTATGATTTAGGAACCATTTCCAATTTCTGCCCTCAGAAATATCTGAGGATCAGAACAGTATTTGCATGACAAACTCCAGGCAATGAAAAGAGGCAACATAGATATTCCAATTTCCATGCAAAAGCATATGCATACCTTATATCAGAGCCTGTTTAGGTGATTATATACATGTAAGGAGAGGAAGATATCTAAGACATATCTTGAAGAACTCAAGGAAGACATAAAGTCCTACAAGTTGTTTACACTGCGGGAAAGAGATGACTTGATAGTTCAAGCTGCAAAGAAACTCATGGCAACTGAAAATAGCTTGAAGTCCAGTTTTCTTCCGAGAAAAAATCTTGATGGAATTAAAAAGAAAAGAGATTGTGATCGTGTAATGCTACCGGATGTTCTGTTGTATCTTGATGGAATTAAAATTAGGAGGCTTTGGACTAGAACAATATACTGATAGTGGCAATTGTGACGAGCCATGATGATATTAAAAAAATTCAAAACTTTGAAGGAAAGATACCTTGTGACGAGCCATGATGATATTAAAAAAATTCAAAACTTTGAAGGAAAGATACCCCTTTGATGATTTAACAAGTTTTTCTTCGTGTGCTAAATTTGATGAACAACTTCATATAAATGAACAAAACCAGCATAAAATTAAAACAAAGGACAAATTTTCAAAACCGACCCATTTCATGATTTAATTGCAAAAAACGACCCGTTTCTATTTTATTTATAAAAACCGACCCAGTTGGTTGAAACTAGGCTTCACGGGAGTTGAACTCCCGTGAAGTTTTTTCTCATAACAAAACTTCACGGGAGTTGAACTCCCGTGAAGTTTTTTCTCATAACAAAACTTCACGGGAGTTCAACTCCCGTGAAGTTTCGTAAAGTTTTTTTCAAAAACCAACCTGGTTTCAGCGACAGTGCTGAAACCAGGTCGGTTTCTCTAAATAAAACAGAAACGGGTCGTTTTTGGCAATTAAATTATGAAAAGGGTTGGTTTTGAAAATTTGTCCTTAAAACAGAAACTAGAGCCTATTCATCCTAAAATCATCAAAATCACGAAGATTATGCACCAAGATGCAATTTTTCATCTTTTATCATGTAATTGATCCAGAAAATATTTTATAGATCAAATCAAAAAATTGTAAAATGAGATTAGGAAGACAATACCTCAAGATATCTGATTGCAATCAATGCCAATCACAAAGAATCGAGTGGAGATCCAGCAGAGTTTGGTGCTGAAATCGAGCCTGAGGTCAAGCTGAGATCGGAGGTGGAGGAGCTCAGCCTGGAACTCTAGATACTATGGAAAATAATCAAAATTATTGAGAAAGAGAAGTAAAGAACAGGAAACGAGAGAATGAATGAAGCGGAGCTCACCTTGGTGACGGAGGCGGCGTCGGGTTCGAGAGGCGGTTGAGGCGGCGGAGGAGGCGGAGGAGGGATTGGGGTCAGGTCTACTTCGCGTTGAGGATTGGGGACGACTGGACGAGATTGGGGTTTTAGGGTTTCGGTTTGGGCAATAAGGGCGGGCGGGCAAACGGGTGAGTATAGACCGCCCATTTAGCGCCCGTTTAATATTATTGAAAATACACCCGTCCGATTAGATCATTTAACTAAATGGGTGGGTTTTGGACGGGCTAATTAATGGATGGGTCGGGTGGGTAAATGGGTATGGGTTAAAAT